AGAAAAAGAAAAAGCCTTAGGCTGGGGTTAGACTACTGGACCTTTGAGGAGATTTATACTAGATTTGCCTCTTCAGAAAATGAAAATGGAAATCTAGTTTAAGACCTTAGTTGGAACTGATGTTGTTGCCTAGATTATCTGGTAGTTTAAGGACTTAATAGATCCAGTCCTCAACCTCCCAAACTGCCTGCAGATTTAGTGGGGACCTAGCAGTGATGTCAGACATTGCTAGCTCCTAGCTTAAAACTGAGTCATAAAAGCTAACGAAAGGAGTACAAAAGGAAGACAAAGCCTTGGGAAACATTTTAGCCCTAAGTCTGACATTAGCTAACATGCTACTGCTGACAGGAAACCATCAGGTTAAATCTAACCTCTTGAATATGGCATTGAGCATGTAGCCCAGAAAACAATTCTCCCATGCCAAACTTGTTGGGTTTTTCTCTCTCAGCAACACTTCAGCAGACTGCCTCCATTTTGTTCCCATGTGCTTCCACCGGAAATCACATGAGATCTTGGGAGATTTCAGGAGTTAGGAGAGGATAGGATAGGATAATACTTTATTGATCGCCAGAGGGGAAATTCGGGCGTTGCAGCAGCACAGACAAGTAGCTCAAAATACAAAATACACATTAAACAGAATAGATAAGATAAAGAAAAATAAAAATAGAAATAGGGGGTATATACAAGTACAAAATGAATGATGAAGTTAACTATGCATGGAATTGAGACAGTGTTTGCAGAGAATAGCAAGATAAAGTGACAAGTGATGATTAAAGTGACTTGGTATGATAAATACCAAGTTCTTGTGTTGCTCCCTCTGACACACAGGATATCGCTTATATTATCTCATAGCAAGTCATGTGCCATGATTTATATGGCTTTTGCATGTTTTGAGAGAAGATGCAACCCATTTTGAAAAATGTGTAAGACCTTTAAAAACTCGTGTAGTCAGAGTCCATGTTTCACCCAGTAGAGCTAACTGGTCAGGGGCCTCATCCCACTGGGTTTCTGTGGCATAAGTTAAATTTTCTTAAAGCAATATTCATCACAACTGATTCTTCTCTAATGAGGATTCCAAACCCCCTGCAGTGTTGAGTGCTTCACAAGAGCGGGCCAATGAGCTTAATGCAATTAAGGCTGCAGCCGTCACATGGAGCGCCTTTCGAATTTGTGAAAAGACCGTTTGCCACAGCTGCCTTTTAAAATGTGGACTGAGCCCGATAAGCAAGAGTTTTGAGTGCTGGAGGCACTGGAGAACATTTGACTTGATTTCCCTGCCTTCAATTTCATTTGTGCAGTTTGAATTTAAAGATTTACTTTTGAGTCACAGTTGCTGGTAATTTACTTCTAGCACAATTACGACCCGTTTTTTAAAATGTGAATATTCTTTTTCCTCGGTTAAGGCATGACAAAAGAACAGAGGGAGGCAATCATAACTCAACTGCATGGGAATGTGCCTGCAGAGTGTTTGTAGATGCAGCGACACTGGAGGGTCTACCCAAGATTGTCTGTGTGTGGGCGGGGGGGAAAAAAAGCGACTATAAGAGAACTGTCAGCTTATAAAACACAAGCATGAAGAAACATTTTATTTGATATACAGGGTGTATCTGCTTGTGCGTATGCAAAGGTTTGATTTTATGGGAAGTAACATGTAAACAACAGAGAAATGTAGCGCTGTTATCTGCATTGTGATTCACCATAAACCCCTGACAGAGGCTCTGTTTTGTGCCACATCACTGGCAGCGCTCCCACCTTTTCCTGGTAGGAATCCTTCCTCTCATCACACACACACAAACACACAAACACTCTTTAGCTAAACAGCTCAACAGTGCCACCAAGTGGTAGACAACAGTCACGACTCTTCCACACTCTGGCAGGAGGTTAACAGCTCCAGATGCTTGCAGTCCGTGCACCACACGGGGACAGCATTGCAGATGCAGGTGTCGACTCGTGGCGGGTTCAAAAAAAGATGAGCAGACGTCAAAATTGCAGCAGGGCCTGGCGGCGGTCCCAATTTTTGATGAGCTGACATCAAATCAATAATCTGTTCATTAGGCTTACAAGAGGAAATCTAAGAGTGATGTGCCGCTCAAACAAATCAATACCGCATGTAGTTACTCATTGGGCCAAATCCTTTTCTCCATCCATGATAACCTTTTATGTGTATCTATAGCTGCTAAAACGCCTACCTGCCAATATTCCTGGCACAAATAGCCCTCTCTATTGCCTATCAGGGCAATGTGCACTGCAATCTCTGCCTAATTGCTCCGACTATAGACCTGCACCATCTGCTGAGCGGGGCATGAGACATATTCTCAGGATGCGTTTTCGACTATCAGGCCTCAAATCTTTCCTATCCTTGCAATCAAGGTTGCAGTGTGAGCGTGCTAACAGTGAGTTAGCCCCCTCCTCCTCCTCCTCCCACTCCTGCCATCATTACTACGTAATTAGCTGTGGTGCTATTCAATTTCCCTCATTTCAGATTTTTCAGATCAATATCACGCAGGCTGCCTGCTAAATGGCTACGCTGCTGGGAGGCTTTTTTCTACAGCTGAATGGGAGGTATCAATCACTCGGCTAAAGGAGACGTTCAGTGCCGTAGGAGGCGATGACCACACACACACACACACACACACACACACACACACACTTTAAGGCACAATCGTACAAGGCTTTGGAGGAAGAGCAGGCGCGGAGAGAGGCGGCGAGTGTGATATTTTTCAGAGAGGATATTGTGTTAAGAGTGTCAGGTTTACGACGTGGTGCCCGCTTCTTTATGTCGGCCGTGCATCGGCCACTATTGAGGTAGACACAAATCTAGTTTCATTGCTTTCAAGGACATTGCCTTAGCATCGTCACCTAGCTGCTAGAAGTTTGTCCGTCTTCTTTGTGTGGTCTGCTTACTCTTCTCTTTAGTAGCAAAGTCTGCTCTGTGACACTAGCAAAGACAACATTTGCCTTATATCAACGCTACGTGTCGCAACAGAATAATAAAATTAAGAACTGAGTGGAGAAGAAGATCCTGGTAAACAGAAAACATGATGCAGCAAATGCATCATAGTGCATAGTGATAGTGCATACTATCTATGGTCGTGCACAATTCACAGGAAATAAACGTCACCTACCCCTCCCACCAGTGGCGATTCCAGAGTCCTTAGGGGCCCAATCCAAAAATCAGTTGGGGGGGCCCTCCAACCAGCATTCAGCATGGTAATGCAAGTGAATTCTGTCAGAGGGGGCCCCCTTAGGGAGATTTCCTACTGTCATTGCAAAGTTTGCACATTATGGGTCGCTGCTTTGGTTTAAAATTTGTCAGCCCTCAGGGGCCCCTTACTGGTCGGGGGCCCCAAGCAGTTGCCTGCCTTGCCTGTTGACAAACTGCGCCTCTGCCTCTCACTTGTTCAAGGTGAGTTCTGAATATATCCTGCTGCGTTTTTGCATCAGCTCACTCAGACTTCCTGCAGAAAAAATAATAGGGGCCTTGAAGGAGTAATTCTGGATGAAGTCCAAGTGAAAAATAAGACAGTTTTGCCTTCACACATGCATCTCACCCCGAAAATTTAAATAATTTTGTGCAAGTGTGAAAGCACTATGAGTCAGTTAAAACTTTAACGCTCAAGTCTGCATATTAGAAGACACAAAAAAATGCCTTTAACAGCATGATCTTATCTTGTTTAATTAACGGGCAAATTGGCAGCTACATGAAAATTAATGCATTAGTGCTGCATCATCATAATCATGCGGTTAACACTGTATGCATCCATATGTGAAACCGAGGTTGATCGGCCAAGTTATGAACACATCACCTCAGCAGTTCATCACCTCGCTGCGAGCTGACGCGCTCCCACACGATAGCGTTTCGCAGAATCACAGCTGTGGGTGAGATATGAGCCGAGTCACAGGGCCGGGTGTAGCCGGATCAATGTCCTCACATTGAACCGCACATACATGCAGAAAGAGAGGGAGGAGAGGCGGGCAATCACAGGCCCTGACTGACTTAATTTCTGAAAGTGACTAGATGTGGTATCTCCTGCAAGGCTCATTCAGGGTTGGTTATTAAAATCTGTAATAGACAGTCAAGAGGACACTGCGTCGTGGTCACAGGAAGGGACGGCAGAAATGTGCGTTGGCATTTGTAGAATAGATTTTTTTTTTTTTTACCAAGAGTGAGAAGAATGTGGCTAAAAGTTTGGGTTGCAACTATTCTTCTGTGAATCTGTTTCCAAGGACGGAGTTTCAAAAAGATTAAAAAGTTACATCAATTAATAACCAAGTGCTGTGGGCTATTCTCGCTGTAATCTAATGGGCCACTTTGTATTTAAAGTTATACAACATTTCACACCCGCCTCACTACGGGACCTCTTTGTTTCATATTTTATTCAACTAGACTTTTTTTTATTTTTTTTTATTTAAGCTGTACAAAAATTACAAGCATCTCCACACTGTCACATCATCAGGAAGAGTGAGGAAAGCTTTGGATGGATTGTTTTTTTCAAATTGACTTTTTAAAAGGATCGTTCGCCTAAGATTTGCACAAGTACATAAAAAGGTGCACTATGTAGATTTGGTAGTGATATTTTAAAGTTGGAGAAGTGAAACAATTCTATGTTGTATTTTCTGAACTAAAGACACAAACTTTTTTCAAAGGAATTAAATTGATCCCTGGAACCCTGTTTGGAGCTAAAAAGCGACCAGGAGAGTTACGCTTTCACTGCTGCAGACCCCCCCTCCATAACTTCTCGCGTATCATTTTATCTTCAAACATTGTTCCGGGGACCACATGTTCCTCTGAGGACAGTTTGTGTATAGAGTTATGAACAAATACCACAGAATCTGAACACTTCTCCAACTTTCACATTTTTCTACCAAATTCCATAATGCACCTTTAAAGGTTACAGATGTATTTGTCAATATGGAAAATCATGAAAACAGACAGCTTTCATCTGGGATTACCAAAAATAACACATTTAAAAAGGAGAATAAAGGAAACATGACCACGGTTTGAAGACATCATTTTTCATTCATTTTAGTCACAAAAGCCTCACCAGAACAAATATTAGAATGGTGCTCGCTGCTTTTAATACTGAGGAATCATCAGGGGGACCAACAGGGATTAGCATGACATCAGTCTGAAAGATTCATTCACAGAATGACAACAAACATCCTTCATCAGGTAGGGAGTGACACAGAAGGACCGGCAGCTATTCAGCTATTTATACAGACAAAAAAATAAATACCGGCGACGAGCGGAGTCTCATTCAATGTTCAAACCAGCAAGTCAACAATATGACACTCAAAGTCGGAATTCATCTCTCCACAGGCACAAAGCGACAGAAACGGTTCCCTTCTCAGGCATTTTCAAGACTTCACAATTGATTAATAAATGATGACTCGGCATGCTACATTTAAGAAATAAAAAAAATCCTCAGCAATGGAGACGTCTGGCCGGAGAATAGAGCTGTGAAGAGGGAAGCATGCGGGGTAAAAAACAGCAAAATACTTAATCACTTGCATCAAAAACAGATTCTCAGGGAAATCATATATTTATACACTGCTGTTCAACAATTTCAGTCTCATTACTCCAGTTTTTGGCTTCTTTTTTTTACTGATGGAACTTCAAAGCTCACTAAAACCTAATGGGAATGAATTAGCAGGTAGTTAAAACTGTTTTGCTTTCTGCTGATTATGAGTTCTTCATCCAACAGCAGCATTTTTCCTCTTTTTGCTACATTCACAGTACAATCAGTGCACTGATACAAGACGCTACTGCAGACTGAAAACATCACAAAAGCAATACCGATAGGACAGTTACTGATATTCAGGTAAACATGACAAAAAATATTTTGTTCAGAGTCCATCCTCCTCATCATCATCAATGTCCACAGAGTCTGATGTTTCTTTTGTTGGTTGTTTTTGTCATCAAGCTTCAGGCAAGCACCACAAATCAACAATATGTTATCTGACATCAAAATTGGTCCCAATATTAGTCCATATAGAAATCTTTTTTTTAAAAGGATGATACACAAACAAAAGTATCTTCTAGTCAGGGTGGCAGTTGACATTCTTGGCGATAACAGCACCCCTTTTATGTTGTACAGAAAAACAAAGAAGATTACATTTAGCCGCAAACTCCACTGACTTTAACATTCCAGCAACAATAAAATACAATTTGTGGATTATTCTGGAAGTTTTTACAGACACACTTTTGGCTGACAAGAGAATCTAAATTTGTACACAGAAATCACACGGAGACTTTTCCATTCACATTGGTCCTCGTGATCCTTGGGAGTTGAGCTGGACTTGCTGTTGCAGTAAGTTTCCACCGAGTGGCAGCATGTAGTAATCCTGGCTTGTGTTCAGTGCAATTCCTCCCCAAGTGTTGAGGGCTGTGAAACTGACATACTGTTGCACATTCTGTGTCTGGCCTCCCCCCCCTGACAGACGCTCATTTGGCTCCTTGCACACACCACCCGTAGGAGGGAGTCTAAAATAGAGAGCTGGAGACTGTCAGTGGCCTGCTCATCAAAATCACACTTCAGTTTAAGGATGCAGCAGGGATTGTGATACAATGAGTAAATGCTGGAGAGAAATATCTGCATGATAACACATTGCAATGTCACAAAAAATGTATTAATGGTGGCTATCCCCCTGCAGGGCTGGATGACCAGGTGGGCCCCCATACCTCCAAGGTCCATAAAGCCTCACATTCACTTTGTGTCAATTGATGTGTCATCAACCAAATCTGTAAATTTGGGAATATTAAACACTTAATAATGCTTTCAATTAAAGTGTTTATCCTTGAAGTAGACTTTATTGTCCTATAAATGAGGCCTGTGGCAAAATGTAGTTTTAAGATATTTTAGTTTAGTTACTTACTTTAGTTTACATTGTCCAATACATAATCTTAATACCTTTTTGCACAGTAAGTATAACATGGGGACCTCTGGTAATTTTGAAATTACACATTAGTGTTAAATGCAGCATCACTGTCTCCTTCATTCTTGATCGGAAAAAGGGAACCTTATCACAAAAAATCAACACCACAAATTACTGAGACGAGGACATCTGTGTTTGCTGATGTTTGTTTGGTAATTTGGCTGGGAATTTTGACTTTGCAGATTACAGACATGGCCACATTGCATTGGATTATAGAAACAGATGTTCTCTCAAATTATAACACATTATCAGAGGTCCCCAGGTACAAACAGGGCTTTAGAGCTATTTGTTCTCAAAGAAATTGCCAAAGACTAATTCCATATTTTTTGCCTCAGAGGATTTGATTTATCTCTTCTCTCTTGTAATTTTAGACCTGTTGCATTGCTCTGTCTGATTGGCCCTGGTGATTAAGCTGTAGAGGTTGTACATATTTAGATCAACATGGAAGTCAGGACCCTCCAAGGTGTCACAGGATAAGCTGCTGGTAATGTAATTTGACATGACAGAAGAGCAATTCACCTGTGCAAAATCAGGTTTAATTTTTTCCTGTCGTCTCCAATAACTGCATTTGTCTTGTAAAACCCTGATTAGTTTTACCCAACCAAACAATATGAGAAGAGAAAACCTCTCTTTGAACTGCTCAAAGCTTGAGCTCGTAAGCAACCTGTGAAGACATGTTTTAGGCTGGTTTTGGGTAGATGATGATGAACTTAATTTCCAGTGCAACTACATTTAAAAGATATCTTTATATTTATATTATTATTATTTATTTTTATAAAGATTAGGGTTGCAACTGCAGTTAAACGATGCCAAGTAGGTTTGACTGTGGCTAACAATAGCAGAGCTAGCATAGCCAGCCTTTTCTCCTCCTTGCAGGTTAACGACATGGCTGTGCTGAATGTGGTTACTCATTGCTTGGGACAAGTGGTCATATGCCAGTTAACCCCTAACACATGCTACATACTGTACAACTTTATCTCCTTTGTCTAGATCAAAAAACTGCCAACCTGCGCCACGCTAAAAGATGTGAAACATTTCCTGTGCTTGTTTACATCCAGGTAGTAGAGTGGGGAGAGGCTACAGCCCCAGCTAGCGGCAAGGGGCTACATTACTGCTTGAGCAAAACATTTGACAGGCATTGTGGGCCAACGTATAGAAATTTTCATAATTTATTTAACCGACTAGTAATTCTGGTGCTGACTTGTAAGGGGAACAATGTTTCATTTTTTACACGACTAGTCGCACACCCCTAATAAAGATATTCAAGTTTAAATTTTGTCAAATGAGCTTATTTTTTGTTGTTGCCTAGGGTTACGATAAGAAAAATGGTACCACTATCACATCTGCTTGTAAATATTAAGCTACCGCTAACAGTTCTTTAGGTTAGCAAAAGGTCTGGAAAAAGAAGGAAACAACTAGCAAGAGTCGGTCCATTGGTGGCTAACTGAACTGCTAACCAATACCTCTGGTTATTTGCCAAACTGTTGATGAGCCAAGCACAGGAAGATAACTGTCCCTGGCCAGGAAGTACTAACAACACATGACCCACTGTTACACTCTTACTGTATGTTTTCTTGTCCTTGGTTTTTGTATAAATTATACAAGATATAGCCTGTTATTGTGCCAGCTGTGAAGACACTCTTAGTCAGGTTCTTCTATCTTTACTTTAAGCAAACTACTTCCCCTTTCCCTAGACTATACATTAAGTCAAACTAAGCTAAGCTAGTTAGCTCCTCCTACATATTTAGCGTGCAGACATGAGAGTGGTAGCCAATAGTTTAAATATTTTAACGCTTCACCAGAAAGCGATTACACTCATATTCATCTATTAAAACTAACTAGTCAACTGAGAATTTTAACATTGTACAACACACAGATACCTTCCATACCATTGTGTGACTGGACATTAGCCTACGTGTGTTGCAGCATCTATTGAGAGTAACTTATGATCAAAAAAGAAGTACCTTAATGAAATATACGACGCACTGATAAGGGTTTTCAGTTGCTTTTGAAACAGGTATGTGCTAAAGAATAGGATAAACTTTGTAGGAAACTTGGAGGTATGAGGGTTTAAATGGATTTAAAACAAAACACATCAGTTGAAAAAGTAAACACTTTTCTTACCTGGTTATAGGTGGACATCAAACACTCCTTCCTCCACTGACTCTATGTCCTCCTCAGCAATTACTAAAACCAACGGAAAGCGAGGAAGAGAAATGGGAATGAATTAATGACATTGATCGGTTTGTCACATCAACATGCAAGCACGGCCTGAAGCTAATGAAATGTGAGGCCCTCGTCTATTTACCGTGCCAATCCGTTCACCTTGCAGCATTGTCTCCTCCATTGATTACTCAGATTCACGCCAATATAATAAAAACAGAGCCAGACAGGGCGCCGCTTTTGGTGAAGTCTCATGAAAGCACAGAACCTATGAGTCACTGGCTCCGCTTTGGAGAGCCGAGCACATTTCCATTGCAAATTTCACTCTTTTGTTTGAGGATCTCTAAATGTCAGCGCTCAACAGGTTTTGGCGTTAAGACAAATGAACTCTTCAAAAAGTGGAGGTGTTAAAGTGAAAAAGACAGGTGATTTCATTGGACTGCTTTGGAAAAGAAAACTTTATTTTTCACACATTGAAGTGTAGATGGCTTCTTTTAGGAATAAGGAAGGAATGAAAAACACCTTTAAAAAAGTCTGTATATTAAGATGGACGGAGAAACATCCACTTAAAAGTGAAGCCAAAATATTCAGAGCTCCTCCTCCTGACCGAATGACTGCAGTATAGTTCATAAACCCTGCCTCCTGCTTGTTAACAGATGTGATATATGTCTAAATGTAAAGGTAAAATGCAGGTCATCTAAATTTAGATTTTGCGGGGAGGTGGAGGTAACGTCATGATTGACAGGTCTGTTGACAAATTAACTTCTTAAGGCATTCATTACCAGATTAATAGAGGTGGAAAGGAGATCAAAAACACAATGAAACAACAAAAAGCATTGATATAACTTTCCATAACTGAGTGTCCGCTTAAAACCAAAACAGCTTATGTTAGTGGCTTCACTTTTGGACAACAGAAGGAGACAGATGTGTTGTCCATATTAGTATACAGTTAATGTCATGAATCACACAACCCAAGCAGAGCTCACCTGTGTTCTGCAGGCTGGGTGGGGTGTTGGCAGGTGGAGGGAAGCTGTAGGATCTGGCCTGCAGGCTGGGTGGCGTCTCGTGGCTGATGCTCTTGGTCCTCTTTCGGCACTCGACAGCCAGGCGGCTCCGACAGGCCTTGTGGCAGTTGACCCCGCAGGCTGCCCCCGGAGCGTTCATGTGGAGGGAGAAGGAGGGCGGTAAGGAGGGAACGAGGGGATCGTTGGACGGGGAGGGAGCGATGCCGAGAGAGGAGGCGAGGGGGGAAGAAGGAAGGGGAAGCACAGGGGCGAGGGGAAGATGCAGACAGAAAAATCGGGGTGAAGGGAAGAGCTTCTAAGGCAGACAGGGATGAGCTTTTACGTGTCTTGCAGACACAGGAACACTGGCACACACCTGTGGTGAGGCCAACTACACCAGATAACAACTTTGTTAACCAGCCGGAGTCTAAGAAGAGAGGAGCGATGGGTCATTGAGCAAAGGATCAGAAGAGGATGTCACAGTAAAAGTATGACCAAATCCAAAAAACCAAACAAACCTTTGGAAGAACAGTTGTTAGGTTTAAGCATCAAAACGACTTGTTTGGTCAAGAAAGGGATCATGGTTTGGCTTAAACTGTAATCTTTGGGTGTAAAACAATGATATCAAAAAATGGATCCCGTCTGTCTGTTTTTGGGTGTCTCGCAGAGAGAAAAATGGTATAGCCTACACTGACATCATGCGTGATGATTTCCATTGCATTCAGAAAAGTCAACAACGTGCAATTTCTGTGCCGCTGTGTAGCGTTTTTTAGTACGGTCTGTTTTTCACTCTGTGGACTTTGCACTTCTACCAGCGTCAGTATGGTAGCTCTCAGCCTTTGGTGAGAGTTGTGAAGTACAGACCCACAGACCATGAGTCACACTCTATGAACTTAATTTAGGATGCTTTCAATCACAACAGGCCTCAACAAGATTTATTTACTTCACAGTATACCACCATTTTTCTTAACTGCATGATAATATCTTGATGAGGGAAATGTTAAAAAGTGGCACTGCCAGCCTCGTCTACTCTACGTCTCTGAGTGTCCCAGTGTATGATGATGGCAGCTGTGCTCACGGTGATGGTGCCGTGTTTGTCAGCATTTTATACTGGTGTATGGATAGCACAAGACGGTTATAGGACGCAGTGTACTTTTTAATTTAAAAAATAGGTAGATTTTACAATTCAGTTCATCTTAAAGCTGCTATGAGTAGTTTTTAGCTGGTCATGAAAAAGACTGAAATGAATAGTGATGCCTCTATATGAGCTCCAAAAACAATCAAGACCAGCAGTGAGAAGAATGACTGTTCCTATATTTACATTTTAACACCTTCAATCACTGCCACAGGGTAGGTGTGAGACAATGTTAGTTACAATAAACAGAACAAATTGCCAATTTTTGTACATGTTACACTGTAAATCTTTAAACAGAGTGATTGACTGATAAAAGAAATGAGTGGGATTATTTTTTTGGAAACTGCATGTGCAGGACAAGATCAGCTTAGACATTGCAGGTACTATTTTGTCCAGAGGGGGGCGCCAAATCAACACATTTGGTAGTCCAATTGAGGTTACAGGAAGTTGCACAGTAATTCATCTGAGTTTATCTTTTGTAAATCTATAATCACATATCAACTCAAAAGAGGGAACTGTTTAGATTTTTTTAGGTTACTGTTCTGCAAGCTAATCAAAGTTTTCAGTTCCCCTTGTTATTACTACTTTGTTAAATGTAGTGGCCGCATGGCACAAGAAGATTTTGGCTTTAAGGAACAGACAAACACATTGTGATGTATATTTAACTTCAGCAGTGGGCATATTTCAGCAGCGGTGCAACTCTGCTACTAGATGCATATAGGGGAAACACTGAACTTCCTGCTAAGCTGGACAAGAAGATCACAACCAAATTCATATTTTTGTAGCTGGTCAGTTCAGCAAAAAGACCAGAAACAAGGAGGAAACGGCTACACTGGCTGTGTGCGTCTGTTTTAAATGTAAGAAACAAACTGTGGGGTACAGCCATCAGCAATGTAAGTATTTAAGCAAGGGTCAAATTCAGGAGGAGACTTATTGCTGTCCTATTCTTCCAATATGGTATTTGTAGAACTTGAAAAATTGACACTGAAATTCCTCTGATAACCAATTCCAAAAATCCTAAATGTAAATCACACATCCAATGACACACACTCACATTCAGAGCTCTCAACACACTCAGCTCCTGCATTGCGGAGGGTGATTCATTTCAATTATGTCGCTCCTGCTCTCTCTACCTCCCCGAGTACAAGGCTAACAATGGTAATGGGGACGAATGGCTGTGGGGCTCTCTTCCTGTGGTGTCATTAATGCACTGGAACAAACTTGAACACTCACACACTCCCAGTCTGAGACAAACACTCCTTTAGGGAGGAGAGGAGAGAGTGTCATGTCTGGATGGGTGAGTGGGGTGTGTGTGTAGGTGTGAGTGCTTTCTTTCCACCTCCTTCCCTAGTTTCTCTCCTTTCGTCTCAACAGAAGAACCTCAACGGCCCGAAGGAGCCTTAATTACTCCAGTTGCTATGCAACTCAAATGTTGGATGACAACTTGCAAGCTGTCTAATAAGCTCTAGTTCGTTAACCTGAGATGAACCTTAATGAGTGAGGAAGCAGTGGATGTTGAGATGAAGTGATTGTGTTGGTAATTGAGGGTGGTGTCTGACTGTGTGTGGTGGTTCCATTTCTCAGGTAAAATTCCATTAACCCAAAACTTAGAGAAGACAAACATGCCATTAATATATGATTGTATGCATTTTGAAAGAAGAGGTAACTCTGTTTCTCTGGTAAGGCCTTAGGGTTTGACTTTCTATCATTACCACCTCATAGGGCTCAAATGCTAAGAAAGCGCTCACTACTCCACTAAAATAGAACTGATCTTAGTTACAACTAGGCGAAAGGGAATATTTTCTGGAAGCTCAGCTGAGCTAGATCTCTTCAATTCAGCTATAACCTAAAAGCTAACAATATGCTAACAAAACTAAAGGTCTATAACAGTGTGTAGGGTGTACAAAAAGTAAATTGAATTAACAGTTAGCGAGCTTATATGTTAGCTTGATGTGCTAACACAGAGGGACTAGCCAGTAAAACGATAAGTAAAACGCTGTCTTGTAGCCTACATGCCAGGCAAATAGTGGACAATCTGACTATGTGATGAAACTACACACATAAGCGCACACACTTTTCCTCCTACAGAGCGGTGAGGTGTACACACTGAAAACTAGCTAACGCATGAACGTTGGAGAACGTGGATTGGCGATGAGGTGGGGTTGCTACTACAAGTGACCCCAAACTACTAAGACAATTTTAAGGAAATGTCGGCTGGGAGTCATGCCAGTCGACATTTTCAAAGACAGAACTTTGGATTCAGCCATTGTTGTTGTCGTCCACCTACTCTTCCATGGCCATAGACTGGAAGCGTTGTGCGAAATGTATACGTCTTCAGAGAAATTGCAAAGTTAGTTTACACAACAACGGAGATATGCCTTTTTCAAAACTTTGCCCTCTGGAAGCCGTTTTCAAAACTGAATTTTAATGCACCCAAAAATGCTGTTTTCATGTGAACAAACAGCCGAATTGCAACACCTTTTTTTCGTCTGAAACTGTTGTCCTGTTAATGGGCACTTGGTGAGCTAATAAAACGGGCTCAGAAATACACAAACCACAGCAAAAGAACTTATTTATGTTTGATCTGACAAAGAAATGCAGTCTCATTTGAAATCCTTTAAAAAATATCTGCCCGCTCTAATCTTCCCCCATTCATAAATCTGTAGCTGTAATCAATCACTTCTCCAAAGACGGCAGCAGATGGATTTCCATTTAAGATTTGGCATCATTTACAAAATCTTTGCACGACATCTGGATGAAAACATATGTAGTGTACGTTATTTAGAGCTCTGCACGTCTGCAGATTATCGCTGCTTAGTTTTTTAGCATCAGCACAGCCCACTGGTGGCTCATCTTCACGGGGGAAAAAAGCCAGCCGAGTGTGTGTTGTTAGAGGCTAATGACTACCAGGACGGAGGTGTTGTGGGTTCTCTGTGTGTACATTTGTGAAATGAACCAGCTTCTTTAAACACCGGGTCTAGTGGGAGCCATGAAAGGACAAATAACTGTGCACTGCGTGAAGTGTGGTCTCTGCTGATGGAGCTTATCCAGCTGTTTGTGGAAATTGAGCTATGTGTGTGGACATCCATTAAAAAGAGTGTGGTATGTGTGCCAGGGTTTCTGTGTCGATGACATTTACTCAGCACTTCAGCTCTACAAATCTTTATCTACACAAGGTGTGTGTGTGCGTGCATGCGTGTGTGTGTGCTGAGAATTGATGGGGTCAAAAAGACTAGGTAATTCCTCTCACCCCCACACATGTGTGCAGCAGACAGACAAACTCTCAATGCAGTCTCTCTTACCTTTACATTTGTAGCCTTGCTTGTAGAAGCCCCATATCTACAAAAGACAGAGAAATAAAAAGGCAGAAGGGCAGGGTGTTAAATAGGATGTGTTTTCATGTCTATTCTGGAAAAGGAACTTGAAATGTATAAGAACGATGCAGCAATTACAGATGGTTCTGAGCAGATAGGAGGCCCAGTATGGTAGGAGTGAAACACTGGCCAAATTATCTTATGAACAAATACGTATATGGGATGTTTTACTGTCACATCTATGATGACATAATGGATGTTCTTTTTAGAAAAATGTCCTTGACTAATGTTGATTTCTTCGGGTCAGACGATTATAGAAAAACTTGAGCTGTGCTTTAGAAGAAGAAGCTTTTTGTAGCTGGTTATATCTGCAAAGCCTGCTGGGAGAACAGACAGAATACACTACTCAAGATGGAGTGGTGAAAGGAACCTGCAACTTTGTAATGTTATGAGATGTTAAACCACTGACACTGAATTTCTGGTTCTACACAATTCTACAATTCACTTAGCAGACGCTTTTATCCAAAGCGGTGTACATTAGAGAGTAAGTACAACACAAGCAAGGATCTAGAAAAAAGGGAACAGAGTCAGTAAGTACAAACGATCAGCTTTGAGTCTGATTGGACACACAGGTGCTGACAGGAAGTGATCAGAGGCATGTAGCTAATAAACCCAATGAGGTTTGGATGCTTCAGCATCCGGCAAAAATAGAAGCCTTGCGTATCTGCTGCAGGGGGCTGCGGACTGCAGCGGACTGAGACGCAGCGTAGAGGAGCCAGTGGACATTCAATTAGCCCCGTTTCCACCAAGCGGTCCGGTTTAGTTTGGTTCAGTTTAGTACGGTTCCCATTTATTGGCGTTTCCACCGTTGAAAGTTGGGAATGGTACCAAAATAATGGATCTGTACCGTCCTACTTTTTTGGTACCCTTCTGTTGGGGTGCCAAGGGTACCAATCCGGCTCTAAAGGGGCACTTTTGTTTACTGTGTCCCATTCTTCTTCTTCTTCTTTGAACTTAATTAATAGAGGGCTGCACCGTGTTGGGCTGCTATGATGTCACACTATTACATAGCTGACTCAGCTATCTCCATCTGGCTTACACTCCGCTTACCAAATAAGGGTACGGTTGGCTGTGGAAATGCAAGCAAGATCAGGGTTTACCGCACTGAACTGTACTAAACTGTACTGAAACAAACCAGACCACTTTGAGGCAACAGGTCTTTACTTGAATCAATAATAGCCCCATTAGCTCCGTTGCCATGGCGAAACGGAGACAGAACTGGTGGAATTGAACTGTTTAGGTACATCTTGTATTCCTCCGTTAATCAGATATTATGATGTATAATTATGATTATATAGCAACATATCAGTTACAGCAGAATCTCTGTATCATGATAGTATTGTTACCTTGTCCTGTATTGCATGTATTGTATCGTACCTTGAGCTACTCTGCGATTCTCACAATGTCCTCTTCACTTCTTCTTCTGTACTGTTCATGCACCTTTTATGTTTCCTACCTTTGATTGTCCAACCTTCAAGATAGTTTCAGCTACAATTGTAATACCAACGTCTTTTTTAGGTTTGTTTCAAGCCTCCGAGATGTGATGAACAGTGAACTGAAGAAAAACATGCTCTGACTGTTAGGAAGGTAATTAATCTAAAACTTATGCTTTAGAAAATGGTCGGCAGTCAAGGTAAAGAACAAGTAATTAGCAGCTAATGAGGTAAAACATGATGAAACGCACATATGAGTGTATGGTGAGGAAAAATAAAATAAAGAAAGGGGCACAATGGAAGAGAAAGATGTATGAAGAGGGAGAGGAAAGGGGACGTTGGCGGGACATAATCGGGGGGGAAGAGAGGGAGCCCGAGATCAAGCGGGATGCAGGGAGCGCTCAGACAGTGGGGGGAACAATGACATGAAAGAGCCGAGCTGCAGATCACACACACTGCACTGGCACATCTAAGGAGGCACAAAATATCCTGACCTATTCACATACACATACACACACACACACACACACACACACACACACACACACTCGGGGAACAAACCTGCATGCATGCAAAAAAATACACATGTAGACGCACAATGTACACACAAACAAAGACACACACGCAGCGGGGAGCCGTGAGCACAGCCGGAGGCTCTACAACAAAGAGAAGTCGGTTACGAGGAGGAGAACATCTAAACACAACTCTCATCACAGCTCTGCCTACTCTGACTGACCTTTAGTGACACAATGCAACTACAAACAAGAGCTGCAAACACAATGAGCGGCCATGTTGCTTTGATGCTTTTACTGTGAAGATTTTGGAGGAGATGTATTTTGGGCACTTAGATAATAAATTCTGCGGACGCCACCTGGCTCTGCCCACCCGTCCAAACATTCTGTAAAACAGTAACCGACAAACTCTCCTTCTTATCAGGTTGCAGCGTCTCAGTCTCCCCATCTTTATGTGGGGAGATTTTCTCTTCTGTTGAGCCGCCACCTGACCACATACAGCCAACCTGGATCGCCTGAACAATCGCCAAGAAAACCACTCTACAAAATATTTCAATAACCCAGCGGCTCATTTTTACTTTCAAACTACATCACAATGGCAAAACTCAAAGACAAGAACCGAAAAACAAAGTGCCCAGCTTGATCGTCATTGGGCCAAATTAACTCAATTCCTCAATTCAACAGACCAACGACTATAACTTATTTAATTGTACAAACTACCTCCACATGGTCAACAGCAACCATATCCCTAATTTGCAAGAAAGCCATCCACATGAACTTCAAATATTGAATACAATTAAAGCTCCAACATGTAAGAAATCTTCTGAATTAAATCATAAAACAACCTTCTTATATGATCAGACATTAAGGAAACATGCAATTGAAGTCTCTGCCAACAATGTAGCAGCCAGTTTGTCCTCCTTCTAACTTTAGATTCTGGCCCTAGATTATATGTTTTTGTTTGGACCAGAGAGGGTTTGGCAAGGTTTTAAGGCACCTTCATTGATACTGATTTCTAAAAGCTTGAGAAAAGCTCTACCTCTCTTGGTTAGTCCATCACTTGTTTGATTTGTTTTCCCTTGTTTTACCCTTTTAGAAGTCTATGATCTTATATGATTCACTTAGCAGACACTTTTATCGAACATCAGAGAGTAAGGACAACTCAAGCGAGGATCTAGAGAGGAGGGAGCAGCGTCAGGAAGTGTAAACAAACCGATCAGGCACACAAGTGCTGACAGAGCACTTTAATAGTTCAAGCTAATAATTTCATCAACATGGATGGCTGTTCTTAAAAGAGTTCTAATCAGCATCTAAAACGTCCTAAATATCATCATCCTAAATTTCATTATGTGCTGTAGGTATTCATGAAAGAGCTGGGTCTTTAGCTTTTTCTTAAAGGTGCAGAGGGACTCTGCGGATAGAATGTAGTGTAGTTGTTTGCTCCACCACCAGGGGGCGACAGAGGAGAAGAGTCTAGTTAGAGACTTAGGGCCCTGTTGTGAAGTTTGGATCAGACGCCTTTCATTTGCAGAGAGTAGTGGGCAGGAGGGAGTCTAGTGTTGATACTTTAAATGATCTTCAATGAAATAACCAAACTAATGTCCATTATCTTTAACGTTTGCTACATGCAGACGCAGGGGGTAAAGTCGGTGCTGTGTTAGGACTCCTTCAGTCCTTAAACTCCAAGCCTTGTGCAGTCCACACACAGGACTGGTTGAACAGAAAATGTAAGATGAAAATATGCAAGAACAAAAATACTATTGTGTCCAGAAATATTCTCTCCACGGCCAAAATCTGCAACCCAGCAGGGAAAGATCACTCAAACATGCCCATGAAAGCTTCTTTTATGCCATTTTGTCACCAAATACTACAGATAACAGATAACTACAGTGTGTGACAGCTCTTCACAGTTTAGAACAGGGAAATGAATACTGAGGTTTGATTGGCTAAAAGGAAATGCCAACGTACCTGCAACATTTTGTAGATTTAATATAAGACAGATTGTCTGGACAGGCAGCCTGAAAAGAATCTGCTACATTGAAGACATTTTCCCCCCTATGAGAACATTTCAGACTGTTTGAACACTCCAGCAGAAGAAGACAAAATATAAGACAGCTCTCTCTCTCTCTCTCTCTCTTTGTGTTCTCACTCTGTAGAGCTAAACTGTCAAAAACCCCAAAGAGACTTGTGCATCACTCTCTGCAATCTCTGATATAAAAGCACTCTGAGCCTGCAGCAAAAAAAAAAAAAACTTGTTGTACTCTCCCGAGATCGAACAAATGTGTCGTCTTGCTTTCTGCGTTTAGTAAAACTCATCTGCGTGTCAGTAATTACGATGTTAGGTGGCTGCGGGGGGGGGGGGGACAGCACTACATTATGAGGACGCAAGCGAGAGCGGTGGAGGTGAGTGAACTCTGCAGTGTTTACAGGAGGCCTCTGCTCGGCTCGTACGACTTGTTTGAGACAAGTGCTGAGGAATGGAGGGCTGCTGGGAAAACATTGTTTTTGCGCAGGAGCCAAGAGGAGAAGCACAAAGCAGGCAGAGGCAGGCACACACACACACACACACACACACACACACACATTCAAAGGAAGAGGAGCGCTGTCAGAGTCCTTATCTCTCAGCGCTCTATATTCTGAGTTTCCCCTCATGATGATTTAAAAAAAAAAGCTCCCTCCAGAGTGTGTCCTAATGTGTGCTCCTTTGAGTGCTAATGGAAGTCTATGCAAATAATCTATGACATATCTCTCCTGTGAGCATTACACTTCTTTTTTTAATACACCATACATACAGCAATGGATGGGTTGTCATCTCAATCTTCAGTACCATACGAGGAGCCTATTCCTGTTCTCATTACAGCTGAGTGCTGACTCACTGTCTGTGTCTAAATAACAGAGGCCTCCTTCGGGGACTTGGGGGGAATGTTAAGGGGCCAGAAAACACACAAACACACACACAAACACAAACACACACACACACAGAGAGATGTAACGCAGCCACGGAGAGGAGGGTTATCATCTCGTCCAATTACCTTCCCTCCCATATTTCCCTGAGTGCAACTTCAGCAGTGTGTGGCTGTAGCTCAAAGTAATTGGCACTGCCCCGATCTGACAGGAGGAGCCTCGGAGAGATGAGCCTTTCACGAGCTGCCGGGGCTGATAATGAAGTGCAGACAGTCTTCTATATGGTTACACATGTGTGGGGACACATCTGACCTTTTGAAATAAGCTGTGGCATGAGTCAGTGATTGGGTGCGTGACTAAAATCAATGCATTTGGGAATTCCAGAGTAAACATAACAAAGATCGATATTTGTTTGAGAGCTTGGTGGCTGAAGGGTTTCAGATTTTTTACAAAGAAATGAAGAATCTGCACACAGCGGTCTGGATTGTCAGCATGGGAAGTGTTCTGGTTTCTGTTCATTTGTACATTACATTTGTAGTCCCAGCTGTATTGACCAATTAAGAACCAGCAGGCTTCGGTATGTGCAGGAAAAACAGTCTGTATAAACAGCAAAAAGCAGGCTGAACAGAATCTGTGTTAATGAAACCCCCGGCTTTTTATCTGCAGTATTCCAACTATGGTTATCTTTAGGGTTATGGTCAGGGTCTATAAACAGATATCTGCATTATAGTGCAGCTTATAATCCATTCTAGATCAAATATTTCAACTTGAGCCACAAACCTGTGTGACAGATTTCCTTTACTTTTATGAATGCATCAGGAAAGATTGATCTTACGACCATTCACAAAAAAAACATTTTAAAGATGTTTTCTAGAAAAAGTAAAGACTTTACAGAGCTTGCACTTTTATTTTGACTCTGATGAAGATGCAGTGCGTTAGTCTTTTGTTCTTCAATAAGTGTACCATAAGTGATTTATGTGCTCCAGTACTGTGTTTGGATCCTGCCTGTGTGAAGGAGTCCACTGAACTATTATTGACGTCTTAGGGTCCTTCTCTGAGAACACCAGCCTCCATCTGTGGAGGGGCTGAAGCGCATGAGTCTCGTTCTATTTTAGTAATTTAATATGTCAAACCCAATATCAGGAAAGTTTACAAATACTAAACTGAATTCATGCTTTTTAGGATTTTTTTGGTTATTGTGTAGATTTCCAGCTTAAAAAGCTGTCCAGTACTTTATGTAGGAAATGTGCTGGGTGTGGTTTGGAAACTTTTAAGTGAAGTCAAAGTTCAAATTGGACTCACAAATCCAGCGCAGTGCTCACAGAACGTGGGCTTGACGTAGGTCGCCTCGGTGAAAGTGTGGATGAAACCCATCTTGCAGTTGAGCAGAGAGCTGGCTTTCATGAAGTAGTCGATCATCTCCTCTCGGCTGATCTGCCCATCTCTGTGAGGAGAGAGGAATGGAAGAGAGATGCAGGTTGGGGTCGTTCTTGTAGGGAGCATTGGTAAGACACAGTGGTAGATCATTCTGCACATGCTCACTGGTTCTTGTCCAGTTCTCCAAACTTGCTGAGGTAAGGGAAGTTGTTCCTGATCGCTTCAAACTCATCCCTGGAGATGTTGCCGTCACCGTCAGTGTCAAAGTTCCTGAAGACAGACTGAGAATGTGAACGATGTAAAGGTTAGTTTCACTGCTCAGAACTACTCAGTTCACTCACTTCAAAACAACATGCTGATAATTTTTCAGACATTATCTTAAAGAAAAATGTATATCCACAAAAGAAACACAAGCAGCATTGTGTGATGTATTTTTGTCTAGTTACCAGCTAGTTACTTCTGTTCTTACCTAAGAACAAATCCCACATAATAAAACATCGGTGAATCCCAGAATCTTCTTCAAAAGTTTGTAAGTAGGATTTAAAATTTGTTCTTAAGAACGGTTGGTGAATGAGGCCCAATGAGATTTGGGGTTAAATGATTTAGAGAAAGTGTTTTGTATATTTCCATGTGCAAATTTGATTCAATTCTTTAAAGGGGACATATTATAATAATCCACTTTTACAGTGTTTCTGAACATATATTTGAGTAACCTGAGTGTCTACAGACCCACAAAATGTGAAATAAACCCATCCAGTCCTTTGTTTGTAGTCTGCATAAGTCTTACAACACAGATGTGATGTCACGGTGGGAATCTGGTAAAAATAAAATTAAAAAAACTGTGTTGTCTCTGGCAGCCATGTTTTTCCCAGGGTGCACGCTGACGAGTTGCCATTGAAGTTTAAAGCTGAACTTGTCGTCACACCCCGCAGAAGAGAGGGACGGGGTGAGGGGGGGCTCATTACATTTAAAGAGACACACACACCAAAATGGTTTATACAGGGTCACAAACCTCCTCTGGTGCTTGATTCGTGTTATATTTTGACCAAAGCACAGCACAGATGTTTCATTTAGACCACAGGGGACTGTTTGAAAAGGGGGAGAAGGGGGATGATATGTCCTATTTAAAACATGTGAATATTTGTGGTAATATCGTCTTTGTGTGCAGTGAGGAGGAGGACAAAGTTCCATATCATTGTGTAATCCTGTTGTTTCAAAAGACAACAAAGCTGAGCCAAAAGTCTGTCATCATATAAAAGAAATAATGTGTTTCATTATGAGGCTTTGATGAAGTTTCCCTGTGTGATTTACATTCCTCCATGTTCATTAAACAATGGGAATAAATCAAGCATGTTTACGAGACAGCCATGATCAAACTTTCCATCTTTGATATTTCTTTTGAGTCAGTCTCTTCACAGCTGACTGAAACCATGACTCAGGATTCTGTGAAATAGTGTGTGTTTTTTTGTTTTTTTTATCTTTAGAAAGAATAACACGGTTACACATTTTTAAATATGCAGTAGTGCATGTACAAAATGAGCCGCACATTTCAAACATACTCCATAGCTCCATTCAAGTGTAGTTGAAAACTTCCTTTCATCCACAGGTCTGTGTCGATTCACATACTCCAAATGGCGCTCTGCAGGCTTTGGTGATGTGGTTGTGCGCTGACATCAGTCTGACTGGCTTCACCTGAATGCTTAGCGTGTAGCTGGAAGCTCAAACTCAAAGTACTTTGGTGATGTTTTGATTCTGTTTGACACAAGGTGCATTTTACTTTGGATTTTCCACTGAGCTGTCTGAGAGTTGTTGTTTTTTTTTAAGTGAAATGAAGCTGTTTGGAAAACACAGTGGTGATGTCATTTTTCATCTCTGCTGTGGCAGCGTGGAGCAGGAAGACACTAATACTGATATGCTGAGCCAAAAAGGGACAAAATAGAATCCAATAAACACTTCTTTTTTTATCTGGATAAAATTGCATCACAGTTACGCTGACAGCCTGAGAATAAAGTCAAACATAAGAAAACAAAAAAGCTTAGCAGATGTAACCACTTCAGCACCACAATAATTGGCTGCATGTGCTAATAAACACTATCAGCTCAATTTAAAATCAATTCAATAGAAGGATTGTCAACAGGGGAACCATATGAATGCAGTTTCTATTCTTGGGAGAAAACATGAGAAAATCTCCAGAAATAGAACTACAAACATGTCAGATGACCTCCCCACCCTGGGTAATTATGGTGAAAGATTACTAGCCAATCGGCCCAGAGCCCAGAGCCCTTCACACTTATCGTGTCTAGATGGCGGCGGTGCGGATAACACCAGATAATTCACCCTTCAACTGCCTACCCCCTTTGCAGCCCACAGGTTATAATTAACACTGTGAGAGAGGGGACTTTGTTAAGACTGAGAGACTCACCTCCACCATCTTCTCGATGTGCTTCTTGATGATGGTCGGGTCGGCGTTGGGCTTCACGGACACGGCCCACTCATCGATCATGGTGGGCTTGGGTTCAGGCACGGGGGCAGGGCTGGAGTTCTGCTACAAGGTGGTGATAAAAAAAAAAAAAACAAAGAGCGTGAGATCAATATCAACACAGGGAAGCTGAAGCTCGTCATCCTACAAAGGCGAGGAAAAAAGACAGCTGCGACGCAGAGAGGCAGTCAAGGGTCACCGCAGCCGATCAAATGTCACGAGGCGAGGAAAACAAAGATTTCCGATATGCATTCATGGCATTTTTCAAGGCGGCACTCGATAAGAAGCTGTGAGGGAATCTATTGGAGGACATGAGAGTTGCAATATATCTAAATATCTGATGGATTGTTTCCCACATAATTCAATACTTTGGGGAAACAGCATGAAAGGCATCTCCTCCTAGATCATCATGGCACACAACTGATTCTGAAATCAAGAAAGCTAAGGGTAAGCAGCTTTATGTATCACGTTGACACCTCTTAAAAGTGAAAAATACAGACTTTCCATCATAGTCTGACAGGAGCAGAGTGGAGTATATTCCTGACAAATACGGGACTCAAAGCGTGCACCAGTGTTGTGCTCACCGCTGGTTTACGAGGCTCTCTCTGTAGAGACATCTGATAGATCTCCTCCTCTGTGTGGTACTGATCCAGAGACACCTGCAGAGAACAGGGCATAAAAAGCCAGTGTCAATTACTCACGTTTTATATTTGACTATGTAGACAAGGGGTGGAGGGGTAAGGGGCGGCTCACTGAATTAAGTGTTTTGTTTTGCTTTAATTAATGCTTTGTGAAAGAGGGGCAGATCTTTCTGCTCCTTTTCATTCAAAATTTGAGATTTTATGTTTGTTTGTTTTTCTTAACTTTATTGTTTGTTTGAATGAAATAAAATAAAAAAATACAAATAAAAATTGGTAGAGTTGGTCATCTCTCTACCTGAAGACCTGTCGGGGGTTCAATCCCCAGCTCCTGCAGCCACATGTCCGATGTGTCCCATGGCAAGACTCTTCACCCCAAGTTGCTCACGCTGTTTCTTCTGCGGCTTATAAATATGTATGAATGTCTTAGTTCATACAGATGGACATTTCACATAGTAGCCTCATCAGTGCGTAGAGGGTCACACCTACACATTCTCACCCATTCACACACTGATATGTCAAGTGTCCATCAGTTTTAACTAGTCCCCACCATAAACGCCACCGACCAAGCAACAGGTGCAACTTGGGGTCTTTACCAAGGACACATTGGACTTGTGGCTGCAGGAGCTGGGGATCATTCCCTGATCTTCTGGTTGAGACATGGGACTCCACCACTAAGCCACAGCCACGCCCCCTAAATTGCAATTCATCTGAATTAAAGGCAAGGCAAGTTTATTTATGTCGCACATTTCAACAACAAGGCAATTCAAAGTGCTTCACACAAGACATCAAAAGCCTCATGACAGAGGAAAGAAAAGAAACATTAAAATAGAACATTTAAAAAATCACTGAAATTATTGAATCTGAAAATATGTTCAAATAAAAATAATTAAAATGAAATTAATTAAAAACATAAAAAAAAAAAAAAAATTGTTTTGTCCTCATACACACCACCTTGCGTTAGGTTAAAATAGTCTTTAGCATGTTCTTGTTGATGGGAGTGGAATAGAGTCACGTGGTTGTGCCAACTGACATCAGACTGTAAAATAGAAGTGCAGTGAACACACTTTATAACATTACTCTGACACATACTGCAACTATTCACAGCTCTCATGTGACGTCACACATTTAAAGGAGCCAGCCAACCTGGTAGTGCCTCAAAGTCTTCCTACTGCTGCAGAGAAGGACAACAGAACTGTCTGGGCCGGATTATAATGCATATGTTTGTACATCTGTATGATATTACTATTTAAATCTGATTTAAGGCATTCATAAAAGCATTTAATAAAAAGGTGTTATTTGAGGTTTGTGGGTGTGAGAATGCAGAACATGAATAAGTGGTGTTACATTTGTTCAGTAAGCCAGCATCAGTGAAGACTATCTGTTGGAGGGTTTAACTACCCACTCTTATTTTACACTCTGAGGTTTTGGATGGCACTCAAATTTACGCGCTCCATGGAGTGGAAGTGGGTCGGGAAAGCGTGTCAAGAAAGGCTCTACTTCTGCATGAATAGGACATGATAACCAAAGAGTCAAGAAGTACCTTGAGCATGAAGAAGTGCCTCACAGGAGCTTGAAGAAAGCTGCCTCACCTCGTTTAGAAAACACTAAAATATTTCACATTCTGTATGTTTATATTCTGAAGGCTTATCACAAAATGATATGTTTTTAAGAATATGTTTACCGACGATGTATCCAAGTTTATATTTTAAATTAAACAATTTTATCACAGCAGCACATACAGCAACGGCAGCTTCCTTATGCAGCGGTCTTTGACGTAAGATTCCGGTGTTTCCACGGCAATGATAAAAGTGTTGTCATGGCGGCCACCACCATGTCAGTCTCTACATCTATATTTTAAAAAGCCCCCTTAATAACAGAGATTGTAAAGTAGAGCCATATTTTCTACTTAAACAGCTGTTCATGAATACCTTTTTTTTTTTTTTCCCTCCAGTTCTCTCAGCAAGTTACCAAAAGTAATCATCCACTTCATCCTTTGTTGGCCTCCCATTATTTGTTCCTCGGGGTTATTCTCTTACCGTAATTGTGTTTCCTGAGTTTTATTGAGTTGAAGTGGTAAGTGGTGCGGAAGGAAAAAAAGAGCTTTTCTTCTTGTTTGGCCTTCTGATTTAGTGCCGCTTCCACTCTTTCAAGGAAAAGGTTAACTGCAAATTGTGCACCACACTCGAGAGGATGAAATAGAATCTCCTATATTTAAAAAGATGAATACGACTCAAAAAAAAAGGAAGAAAAAAAAAGGACTTCAAACTTGTGTGTTTTGCTTTTTAAGCTCCCTCGGCGGGCATGCTTCGTCTCTTTTTGAGCGGTTTATTGACTTTCTTTCCATCTGCTGTGAGCCAAGCAGGACTCAGCTTAGATCAACTGCAATAAGCGCTGGCATACGATAATTGGGTATTGACTCTGTCCAGCAAAACTTCCCTAAATTCCCTCCACTTCAAAACCTGTCAAGTTGTTTTCTGTCATTTCCACAGAAAGATTAAAAATAAAAAAAGGAGAAGAGAAGCAGCTGTAATCTCTGGTGAACACCTGACGCCAGATTGAGTGATTGATCTCTGGAGGTTTCTTAAACTTCAGTAAACTTCACTTCTCAAATCCAGGAAAGTCTTATCTACATCTGCCAAAAAAGAATCCTCACACACGCACGCACGCACGCACGCACACGCAGGCACGCACGCACGCACGCACGCACACACACACACACGCACACACACACACACACACACACTCAGGGGTTTAGTGTGAAAACAGCACCTCAGCTTTCATGCTGAAGAGCAGGCAGCTACAAAGCTGAGATCAGTCTCACTAAGCATTCCCAGTTTAGGAGCTCTGACTAAATATAAGACGAGGAGTCATCCTGTAATTCTTCATATCCTGATTATTCAAGGCAACTTCCTGTTAGGATTTAGTGACTACGAGGAGTGCAGATTTTCACATCGGCAACCTCCAGTGTTGAAAATTAAAGACAGGGTGGAAGTGCAGAAAAGTGCAGTTTTTAAGTGTCCGCCTGAGGTTGGCTCGTAAAGACAAAGAAGTCCCACATTAAAAAGTCAATTATTACTGCAGGAATAAAAATGTTTCCAGTCCAGTTCAAAGAACAGCTTTGATGTCACAAGCAATTGCGTCAATGGTGGTTAAAGGACCAACATGTCAGATATCTACTGAATGTAAATCATAAAATGACCTCACGATAGAAGAAGAAGAAGATACACTTTATTAATCCTGCAAGAGGAAATCCAGTGTTACACACACATGCACAAACAGGATCCTTTGGACATAACTAATGGAGAGATGTCAGAGTGAGGGGGCTGCCCACAGCGAGCACTCCTAGGCAGATGGGTGGGGGGGGGGGGGGGTTCTGTGCCTTGCTCAAGGGTTACCTTAGCAGTGCTCAGGATGTGAGCTAGCTCCTCTCCAGCTACCAGACCAACTTCCAGACTTTAACCAGCGACCCTCTGGTGAAGTGCTGGCTTCTCTGACAACAAAGCAGCAGTCAGTATGTCCTCCTTCTAACTTTAGATTCTGCTCCTGAATGCTCTGGATTTGTTTGGACCAGAGAAGGTAGGCGCTTTTAAGACACCCCCACACGGCTGTTTTGGACGCCCCTCGGTTTGTCAGATATGAGAGCAGTTATCAGGTCAACAGGTGTTGCAGTGATGGAAGAGGTCAAGAGAAGTGGTTCAGATAGAAGTGATTGCACCCGACCTAAAAAGCCTCTGCATGTTTCTAATAAGCTCCACGAGCAGAAACGTGCTCAAACTAGGATCAATATTGGAGATGCTTTTGAAAAATGGAGAGAGGTTATTCCGGATCAGTTAAAGTAAAGGATAAAAGCTTTGCATACATAAGCATAATTATTGTCAGCGTGCTAAATCTCTGATTAAACACCAAATAAAAGTGATGTAATTGAAGACAGAGTCAAAGTAAGTGTTTGTCTTTAATAGACTTGATCATGTTTGCACTAAACTCCTGAAAAGCTCCTCCTGGTTTACTACAATAGTGCCTCTACAATGCTTATCTGGCGGTTTCCACAGGATCCGTTTTTGCAGTTAGGTTTCATCATCGTTTCATCTCCGCATGCTTCAGATAGCAGTGGAAACTCCAGCATTTTGACCGGATCAGCTCCGGAGTGCGCTGCTTAGACGGGATGCAGAACATTTTGATCCTGTTGAGTCTGTCAGTAACAGTGGGCGGCAGCAAAATCCCACTAGAGCAGTGATACTCAACCCGAGGCTCTCGAGCACCATGTGGATCATTTGGGACTACTTTTGGCTCTTTTAGGTCAAACTTGGCCAAAAAAATCCAAAGTCATTATTTAAAAAAGGGTCACTGTGTTTCCCACACGGAAAGAGGTTTTTTTTATTGTGGCTCTTGCAGAAATATTTTTTGGTCAATGTGGCTCTTAAGTCTAACCGGATGAATACCACTGCTCTAGAGCATGCACTCTGTATGAACGTGGTGCAGACCCTGGATGAGCCTCAATAGGAAAGTGACATCATCAGATGGCAGCAAATGGACAAATAAGAGCAGTGTTACAAAATTTCTCAGAAAAGCAAAGCAGATGCCTCAAGGGAGTCATACCCCCTGATCTGAGGTCCAGAGCGATACAGTATCTCTCCTTCTGCAGCAAACAGAAATCATACAAACATAGCTGCTCATTTGTAATGAATCAAAAGGTTCACAGCAGTCATGTATCTCCTTTTCAAAGGTGATAATCTAGCTGCTCCGATGCCTCTGGAGCACGTATGTATCTGAACATTGAACATACTGAGTTCAGTTTGCCAACTTTGAATGCTTCAGTTTTGTACATTCTCCAGCCTTTCCCTGCACTCAGACTTTTTTAAAAGGAGCTTGCCAACGCACACGATCCTTTTCAAAGCAGAACAAACTCTTGAGCATCAAACAGACTGCCTGCTCCACTGGCTGGACTCAAAGTGTTTGTCCTTCTCAAAGTTTTTTCCCTCCTACTTCACTGCTGTTTGGTTGCTTAATGAGCTCTTTTTGAATTCTGCTGCACTTCATAATGAATAACAAACTCACAGCACCTGATCCAGGCCCTGCAAGCTGCTTTTAATGCGCGCCAAACACTCACCTTGAGGGCCAGTGTTTGTTTGTTTTTGCACTCACCGTGAGCAGGTTGAGCAGGTCTGTGTTGGCATCGATGCTGGGCGGCGTGGTCTGTATCATGGCCAGCTCTCGCAGTATGGTGTACAGCTGTTGGGTCTTAGTGAGGTTGACGCGTGTTTTCTCTTTGTCCGCCCAGTCGGTCAGCGCCACATGCACGGCGATGAGGTCTTTCAGGTGCACGCCGAGGATGGGGAAGCGGAAGCCGGCGCACTCGGAGAAGCGTTTGCGGTACTGACTGTAGTTTCCGCATGATGTCACCAGTTCGATCAGGTTGTTAAAAATCTGCGGGGGAAAAAAAGGAAAAACAAGGGATTCTATCATTTTAAAGAAATAATTTTTAGAAAATAAGGGGAAGATCAGAAGAGAATTGGCGAGACATGTTCAGAAAACTTTGCTCCAGATGGACTTACATAACTGAGGAGTCTCCAACTCCCCCGACTATCGAGTTTAACTTTCAAGTTTTATGGCTCAAATTCATACTTTTAAAAAAGACACTGTGTAGGAGTAACGGGAGCGAAAAAAAGGAGGCTGGCAGCTCACACAGAGGGAAAGTGGATCACTGAATCAAGAGCCACTTGTTAACTAAGTGCATAGACGTTGCAGTCAGTATTGAGTTTTTTTGTTTGACTGTTTGGGCTGTGCGAGCCAGAAATAGATCAGATCAGGATGGGGGGGGGGCAGCAGCTCATACTGAACCTTGTTGGTCTCTGCGCTGATGTGGGTCTGCGTGTCTTTGAGGCGGGAGATGGAGCTGTTGCTGAGGCCGCCCACCACCGCCATCAGGGTGTTGAAGTTCTGCAATTGTAGGAGCTTCTGTGGACGAGAAGGAGAGGGAGGAATAAGAAGCTGAAAAAGTTTTTTTTTAGGCTGTAAGGGCTGTGCATTAACTTCATATTGTGTAAAGATTGTAACATGTAATGTGTGATATATGTTGTCTGTGGTTGTCATTGGTTTTTCCTTCTCTGCTTACATGTGGATGTATTTGTACAACTGTAGGGGCAGCTACATGTCTGCAGACCTGGAGTCCAGGACACATTTCTCCAGTGTGATTCATCGTATTGCACATAGACTGTCGATATTAATGGACCAAGTCTGAGTGACATCACACATCTGATCCTGCAGGAGTCAAACCAATGTCTGTGGGCCATGCTGGAAATCCTGTCTCACCTTAACTAGCTGACCTAATCAGGTCAGAATAACTCTTATCCTTCATAAAATCAAAACAAATGATATAGCAAAAGAATTCCCCCCCTCTCCCCTTACAGTGTGTGCAGATTAAGACATGAGCTCATCAGCCCCTATTTGTTTTTTTGTACCAGGCTGTAAACATGTACATTTCTGCTGATAAAACAGTTTTCTTTTTTTTTTTAATGGGTTGTGTATGTGGCTTCTGGTGCTTCTGCAGCCAGCCTCTAGAGGACACCCGATGAACTGCAGGATTTTTTTACCTCAGCATTGGCTCCGTTTTTAAACACCTACTTGGTGCTGTATCATATCATATCGTGTCATATTATGTCTTTTCATGTTGTACTGCATGGTATTGTTTCATATCATATCCCATTTTGTTCAGATTGGATTTGATTTGGATGAGGACAGTGTATCCTTTTTATTTTTTTTCATTCTGAAAGCATTATGGGGCCTTTCTGTACATGGTTGTTCAAAGGCAGTGGTCTTTTAGTCCTTATATTTAAAGTGGCATTGTTATTTTAAAATCTGAGTTCTTTTTAGTGAAGGGATTGGTAAACCATGTCAGATTTCAGATTTTCTAAGGGGGATGTTGCCCCCAGGGTGATAAAGTTAGAGACATTAGGCATTTTCCGTAAACCACATACACATTCACCATAATCTAATATCAAGTTACAACTAAATGTTCTGACCTATGTGTGTCAAACTTGAGCTAACTCTTTGTGAATGGCGCTCGGCGGGGCTCCTCTCTGCCCTTCAGCCTGCCTGGCATCTCACTGAAAATCAATGAGGTCGCAGCTGTGTGGGAGGGCTGCCAGAGGGGATCATTTGATTCAGCTCAGACACCCTTTACAATCAATGAGCAGAGCTGTATGGAGGGCAGGCCAGCGTTTGAGGAGTAGCTTCAGCTAAACTGCACGTGCACGCGGCTGTGATCGAGGCCTGGGAAACGTTTCATTGTCAACGTGCCAAAAGCTTTCCACCGCGTGTCCAATAAAGTGTTCATCGTCTAAACAACAACCACTGCTAACACATGGGCCGATCGGTGATGCGGTGTGTTTATCAGAGCTAGAAAGCACACACACATACACTCTGTGACATGAATTAAAACAGACATTTAAAAAAGAGCGTGAGAGGAACATTTTTCAAATCCAAGTCAAATCCTTGCATTAACGATAATTGGTAACGAGTGTGAGTCATGTGTAATTCACGGCCTGTGCTCCCCGAGGGAAGCTTCTGCAAATGTCAAGTATGTCATGGCTTCCTCTTCGTGCAACCTCGAGAAAAACATGAACAGCATGAACCTAAATTTTGCCCCTGCTGTGCTCCCACCGGGCTACATTTCTAAATACCAAAGTTGAAAACGTTTCAGATTGTCTGCCACTGATGAGTGTGCACTCATCTTAAACCTCTCTGAGCGGAGAGCTGGATCTGATTTTCATTTATGCTGGCTACACACCGGATCATTTTTAAATCTGTGGGAGACCACAGACATGACAACTTTTCGGCCAGACTGTGAGACCGCACATCTGCCGTTTTTCATAACAAATTCACAATGGCCATTCCACAGACACGAGATCTCAAAGATACTGGCATGATAAAGGTGTGACTTAAAAAAAAAAACAAATATGGAGGACGATCGTACTCAGCTGGCTGTCTTTTTACAGTCTGTCTGTTTTGCAGCGAAAAACAAAATGCTTTTTTTCAGTACTCCACTTGGCTCAGGGCACAGGTGTGTTCATGTTTGTGAGCTGTCAAAGAATGCAGTATCCGATTTATGATGCTTCCTCGTCTACTCGCTTTTATTGGCTAGTCCATGTACTCCATCAGATATTACGAGATCATGTGCAGTAAAATGATCATGTTGACCCCACACACTTGAGGATTATTTTGACAAATAATCAGTTGCGACAAGATTTCAATCGGGCCACACCCCCGAACAACGAATAAATAGAAGTTTTCCTCACTCCTTCATTATGTTAGACAATTGAACTGTTCCTTGTGCGTTTGAAGCCTGTGAATAATGTTAAAATGCATCATCACCCAGCTAGATAAAGATTTTCCTGGGCTGCATAATCTCTCAGTGGGCATCTTAAGATTCTAACACCTGCAAAGCTTTCCAAAATAAAATGCACTTTCAAATTGGGACGAAAATCAGGGCTTTACTCATCTAGTATTTAGCTGAATAAGTGGACTATCTTAATCTTTTCCTGATATTTCCAGGAGGAAGGCAAAAAGCCCAATTTTTTCCTTGGACTTTACCTGGAGTTTTTCCTGCCAGCCCCCTAGTATGTTTTTCCGTAGCAAGTCCAAGTGAGCTGATTTGAGAACACAGCAAGATATTCTCCGGAGAATTCACCTCCAGTGAGTGGGAGGGGGAGTGACGTTTTTATACTGAGACTGCTGCACGGTGCATAGTTTGACCGCTACAAGTCTCCAGCTGTGAGGAGCATATGTGAACAACCAGGTCAGGAGAATCTCCGGAGCGGTCCTCCTGACATTATCTAGATATTTTCAGGAGTGCAGATTTGAAAACGGCTTTTGGAATAAATAGACAACAAAAAGATGTAAACAAATTCAAAGAACTGGTATGATGACTATCAACTCTCTCTTAAACTGACTAGATCATTATGGGCGTGATTTTAGCAGGTTTTCAAAAAATGATTTCTGAAAATGATTTATTTTTACTGCTAATGATTTACAAGTTCACTGAGAGTCCATTTTAGTGTTTGGAACTTAATTGTGTTCTGTTGATTAAAATAAAAAAATGGTGGTGGTTTTTGTAAACCAGCAAAGATTTACAAATCATGACTCATCTAGATGTATTTTAAAAATCAGCCGTTTAAGAACCATGTCAATATTTGGGAAGGGAGCTGCAGTTTTCTCCAGAATGTGACCTGCATCCTCTGTCCAGCGTCTACAATAAATAAATAATCTGAAGTTGCTTCTGGGCTCTGACAGTTGTGATATTTGGGAGACGGCGGAGGTCAGAGGGATGCTTATCTGTCAAAGCCATCACCCCAGACATCTGTCATCACTGCTGCACTGTCAGAATGACAGACACCACTGGAGAAAAAACTAAAAGTGTTCAATCAAAAGGAGGTGAAACACTTAAAAGACACTCAGCAGAGTTCCACTGACAGGTGCCGTGGTGTGAAAAGACATTTTAGGTTTAATTCAGGATGAGTATTTGATGAGGGACAGAAGTTTATTCATCAGATAAAGAGAAAAAAAGGCAGTAGCACTAAAGTCCATGACAGATGTCATTACCAGGACAACATAGTGTTGTATGGTATCGTATCATGTTGCATCAAATTGTACAGTAAAGCATTGTAAGGTATTAAATCACACCGTATATCGTAATGAAATGTAAAGTATGTAACATGTCGTATCATAGGTAGAGACAATGCAATCACATACTGTAGGTCTGGAGGCTTCAAGGATGAAACTTCCTAATACATTTTTAACGACACTCCCTGAATGCATCGTTACATAGAGGAAGGATCCAGCACTTTTGTCAGACCAAAGCAAACGATAACATCCCACTGAAATCACATTTAAAACAGGGAAGCCCAGGGCAGGATGCCATTTGAAGGGATTTTTCTGTTCTGAAATGATGACACAAGTCTCCAGACATATGGACAAAGATCCTTATTAGGCAGCAAGTTGGCAGCCTTATAGAAGAATTTGTGGAAAGAGTCCGAATTAAATAAAGATTAGGGATTAGAGGCATCTTGACCTGCAGATGACCGCCGTTGATTTCAGTCTTTCAGCACAGACTTGACAAATACACAGATTGGATGGATGGATTAAGAATAGTCTAACTTTTACTATAGCATTCAGAGCAATGTATTTTTCATAGTCACTGTAGGGAATTCTTTGCAACTTTTTGCAAAGCAAATGTGCAAAAGAATTATGTCTACTAAAGAGGGATGAATGTATCCCAGTGAGGTCTGAACCTGCAGGAAAATCATGGGTAAATCCCTTTAGTCCAGACTGAAATATCTGAGCAATTGTTGGATAAAAAGTAAAGAAATCGTCCGCCGACATAAATGGTTCCCAGTGGATAACTTTTACTGACTTTGGGGTTCCCCTGGCTTTTGCTTTTTCTATTTTTTCTTGTCCCTGATCGTGTATTTAAGTTTATTTCTATGGCTTGTGTTTAGAATTTATGCCAACATTTAAATGATAGCACGAGTGGAAACGGTTCAAAAGAGATTAAATGTTGTAAAAACTCTTAAAGGTCACATATTATACTTATTTTCAACAAGTTTAAATTAGTCTCAGAGCTCCTCAAAACACGTGTGTGAAGTTTCTTGTTCTAAATCCACTCTGATCCTGTATTTGATCATGTCTATAAACCCCTCTATTTCAGCCCTTCTCAGAACAGGCTGTTTCTGTGTCTGTACCTTTAAATATGTAAATGAGCTGGGTTAGTTTTTCAACACAGACGGTGTCCAACAAAGAAAAAAAAGGGGGACGCGCAGCTAAATCAGAGAACATGACTCTTACTTTGGTGACTTTGTGACTTATTTTGTATCGTTTTATTCACATACAGCCATAACACTGCAGGATTTCTCAATTATGGCAGCGGGGATTGATAATACTTCATGTTCATGTTGTGTACCTGTCCTTGTTCCCGTACATGAGCAACTGTAACGTGCCGAAGCACACCTCTTCCAGACGTGCAGGGGTCAAGGAAGTGTACCATGCTTAAGCGCAGATCGGAGCACTCACACTACCTGAACGAACTGGACTTTGGGGGTCTAATCTGCTTGAGCACCCTTCAGATTCACTGAATGAGTGTGCCCTTAGCATCATTGAAAATGGACATGTTCCTCAAGCTGCACAAAACAGAAATGTTTCCTTCTCCTCATTTAATCCCCTTATGTATCAGGTATTTCATATGCAGTTTAGAGCAGTGCACCCAGCAAACACTCGCCCCTGATCCCTCTATTGTAGTGTGCATCCCTGAATTCATTCAGTGCACAGACTGTGTAAAGACTTGATGATACTTTTGTATTCCTTCCACTGCAATAAACAGCTCATTCTCTTTTGGGACCTCTAATTTAGGTGATGATATTTCTCTCAAATAAATAGAAGTTCAACATGCTTCTTCATTATGTAAGACCATTTCACAGCTCCTCAGGCCATACAAGCCTGTGAATAATGCCAAAAATGCATCATCACCCAGCTATAAAAAGATTATCCCCTGAGCAGCATTATCTTGAAGAGCTCTCAGTGGGCATCTTAAGATCCTAATGCTGCCAAAGCTTTCCAAAATTAAATTCACTTTTTCTTACAATTTGTGCCATGATGGGAAAATGTCTTGGTTTGATCTGCATTTCACAATGTCGACACCTTCTCTTCTCTCATAATGTCTCGCTCTGTCTGTAAACGTGTGCAGTGAACAGCTCAGTGGACAAACCTGTGCCACTCTGATGAAGTGGGAGATGACGGCAGCTCTCTGCGGGGCGGTGGGCTTGCTGAGCACCATGAGCTGGATCCACTGGGAGACACTGTTGAAGAGGGTGATGAAGCGCTCCAGGATGGGGTTATCCACTGTGCAGCCGTGCATCACAAAGCTGTGGTAATCCTGAAACTAAAAGAGAGGGAGCATTGGTAAATGTTTCTTCATTTATTTAAAGGAAATCACAACATCTCAGTTTTCTTACGAATTCTATCCAATGATATCCTTTGACATTTTGCTTTTTCCTTTCACCATGACACTTCCAAAGAAGATGCATTTGACTTTTTTATGACCAACAAAACAGGATGTCATTGAGCTGTATAGTGTCTTCTATGGGGCGTGTTACAAATTGGGAATGTGCATTTTGCAAAACATTAACCAGGCAGGAAAACACCCAAAACACACTTTATTGTTGAAGTTTGCCAATAGTCAATTCCAGTGTTTCAGGGCTTTTAGCCTCATCTTGAAACTTCAATTCTGAAGTCTTTGTTTGCCCTGACAGTTAGTTTCTTAATTTATTGGCTCCTGTATTTTCCATAGACTGTAAATATTAAAGGATGAAGCCTGAGTGCCCATGATGATGATAACTAATCAGACCTATATCCTTTTTTGTACCAGACTTTAAACATGTTTATTTCTGCTGTAAAAACTGCTTCTTTGGTTGTTGTGTGTATGTGACTCCTGGGCTCTTGGAGCCAGCCTCCAAGTGGACACTCTACAAAACTGCAGGATTTTGCACTTCCCAATGGCTTCATTTTTCAAGACTGGAAGTTGCCGCTTGGGAATTTTCCCAAGCTTTGCAAAAATGCAACTTCTACAGCATTTTTTGGCATTTGAGAGCTTGTTTGCTTTCCTGTAGAGATGCTGATGATAAGATTTATGACACGATTAAGTCTATAAGGTAAACATAGAGCTGGAGACAGCTAAAGAGCTTTGTTAAAGTAAGATGGCTTGGCTTAGCTTAACCCCATCTTGCCACCAAACCCATCACACGTGCACAAATGAACTAAAAGAAATCACCCATATGAATCTAAACAACCCTGTCTTCGTCTGTGTTTCCCAAAATAACTTCAGAGCAATAAATTAAAGAACTGCCAGTTAAAGTGGATTTTAATTGCTGTTGCTTAGCAACCTCTAAAAGCCTGCAGCATTCTAATTTACTGAGAATTTAAAGATAGAGGGTTTTCAAAAAGAGGCGGAGGTCAATCTAACCAGGATCTTGCAGAAGGATTTGTACTCCAGGTAGGTCAGGTGTTCAGCCAGTTCACAGGAATCCAGGTGGTCAAACAGAAGGGACATCTTCCTCTTTTTGGACACTGATGGGACACGCTGAGTCACCTGCCGCTTCCATTGATATGACGGCCTGTGAGGGACAAAGACAAACAATCGAAAATGGCAAAATATTTAAATGCAACAGTTAAATATTTATTTTAAAAAGAACACAATTTAAACTGAATGAAATCAGCTTTTGTTTAGTTTGCACCTTTAGTCATAGATGAATGACGACAAAAAAAATCACAACTAATGATTATTTTCATTTTCAGTGAATATGTTCATTATTTTCAGGATCGTCTAGTCATTAAAATGATGTGTAACTGCTCATTAAATCAGAGCTTAAAAACCGTCTATTTGAAACCCAAGTAGAGAAAATCATCATTTTTAAAATGCATGAATTAACAAATGTTTGATATTTTTCTGCTGATTATCCCCAAATTTATTTTATTTCAGCTATAAATCACTGCAGCCCTGAACCTACTTTTGGCTTTATGAACGCAGATTTTTCAAAGGAATGTCACTCTGCCGTTTTGCAAATGTGCAGCTGCTGTGAAGTCAAAGTTTGACCCCATAATGCCTTCTCCACACAAGGGAAAGTTGCGGCCACACAGAATTGGCTTTTATTGGAAAAGGAGAAGTCACTGACTCCTAAAGACAAAACTCAGCAAAGTCTGAGAACAGGCAATAAAAAAGGTTACAGCCTGACCTGAACACCCACACACACCCCCACACATACAAACAAGGAGACGTTCGTTCACACTGTCAACAACACGCACAGATTTCAGCAAGCTGTCCACTCACACACTGTCGAGGTCAATGAGCTGACTCTGGCTCTGGTTTCCCTCGGTGGTCAGGAGGTCTTTAAAGTCTTTGATCTGGTCGGCCAGCTCTGGGTTCAGATTGAACTCTGCTGGAAACTCAGTGATCCAGTACCTGCAGGGCAGAACAAAGCGATGAAAAGGAGAGGAAGATGATGAAAATGCTGTCGACAGATAGACCTGTTCACAAAATATTCTGTGACAGGCTCTGATATATTGCAGCAGTGACACCAGAGTTAAATTCTTGCTGTTTCTCTTTCCCTCTACATTGCACTGATATGATAATATAATTTATCAAACCCCAAAAATTAACTTGTCTTCTCCTCCAAAACTCTACAGTAAACAGAAGTTTAATAAATTATGATTGCAATGAGCAACTGTTGTAGAGCTAATGGAAGGAGAGGTATGCTGCTAAAGATCGTTACATCAGCTACAGCTAGCTTAATGTCAGCTATCATTGTTTTCCAATGTCACATTTTTAGCTAGGTTACTTTAAAAACAAATCTAATTGTGATTTAAGTCAAACAAGTAAAAGCCCAAAACAAAGCAGTTTCATGTTTAAATTCAATGTTTCGAGGGAAACAGGATGTTGAATGAGATAGCTTGCTGAACCGCAGCTAACGTTAGCTCAGCATGTTTCTAGGTCGAGGGTCGGTATAACCTGAGGCTCTGGAGCCGCATACGATATGATACAATTCATTGTCCCCTTGGGGAGATTTGTCTTGGACTCTAGTTGTGCACACATTCAGCTGCCTCTACAGTAAAATCAATTAAATAAAAAAAAACAATACCCATACTGCACAAGATCTGCATAAAATGCATAAAAGATTTGTGAGAGAAAGGATAAAAACAAAATATAAAACATTAGAGCATGCCTCTCTCCAGTGTTTCCCCAGTGAAAAAATGTGTGGCCTAATCATTTCAGAATTTCTCAGTTTCAATGTGCGTCATATCCTTTGCCTGCTCGGCGCCTGTCCAGTCTTTACTGGTGGTGTGCGATCTGTTCCTAGAAATTAACAGGAAGTTTTTATGGTAGATCAGGAAGCCGTTTGCAGATGGGTGAAAAAAACCCATCAATGCGTGAAATAAACAGTCATCAAAATGTCAGAGCATCTGTTCTAAGAAAAACAAAACTGAGAACCAGGGCAGACTCGAGGTAGAGGAGATATCAGCGTACCGCACAGATCCAGAGAGTCACCTTTAACCCTGCATGTTTTAAATGTAATATGATGTTACATATGAGCATACTGTCAGATTCTCAACATCCGTGCTCTGCTCTCCTCCATTCATCATTCCCTCTCTGTTGCTTGACCACTCACTCACTCTGTACGCCAGCACTGATAATTGCAGGAGCGAATACAGGGCGCTCTTGTAATGGAGAGTAGTCACATGTTGTGTGGTAAAACATCTTAACAGATGTTCAGTGCATTGAATGCTCAATTGGCTAAGAGGAGGCAAAAATGGTTCCTGGGTTGCTGACCCCTGTCCTCGGCACTCAGCTTGTTTTTCTGGTGAGGATCAGCTAATACAACAATGATATCAGTCATATCATTTCCATAGAGTTCAGATGTATATGCTTTCCCATTATATCACACATTTATATCTTCTACAACTCAAGTCTCTGAACTGTTCTCAGTTAGGTTAAAAGTGGTTGGCCGTCAGCTGCAGTCTTTGCGTGTTCAAGTGCAACTTTTTGGCCAAGATGTGAGGCAATGTGAGTCGACGCAACAGGCAACCTTCGTCACCACTAGTTCTTTGCTGTCTGCTTGGCTTGGTGTCAGGGCCTTTAGGTTAAAAGTGTTGATATATCTGTAAGAATCGCTTCATTCTTCAGAATAAAGAGACTTACTTGACAAGGTGACATATTCTTGTCCGGCGCTCTGCAGAACAGCTCTCGTCTTGAGATCTGATCCAAAAGTCAAGGTGCAACTTAGCATGAAAATGTCTGCAAAAATATAAACGTTCCCATCCTTTAACATATTCAGAGTTAACAGATTTAGGAAACAACAAAGAAAGACAATAGAATAAAAGACGTTCTTCGTCAAGGTGCATTATTCTCTTGCAGTCCAAAGCCAAACAAAAAGCTCTGAATCGCTCTGTCAGCAAAATATTAAGAGATAGTTACAGAAAAACACACAAGTGATTACATCATAGATCTCTGAGGTAGCAGAAAACATAGGTGAAGGATACTTGAGCACCAGCTGCTGAGCCATGTCCGTTGAAGGGACGTACCAAGGTTGCATCATGAGGAACATGCGGACCAAGTTAATGTCCTTCAAAGTGCCCTTTTCATCTGGAAGAGAAACATCAACAAGCCAGACGTTCAAATGAAGATATGACCTCTGTTGTTGTTGAAGAAAATACAATGTGAAGTAGTAGACGATGTCTAAGGAAGCATAATGCAATCACATTAGAAGATAAAATCTGGATAATTATCTCAGATTTGAGTTACATTTCAGAATTTTTATTGTTTTTATGGAAAAATGTTAATTCTGATCTGTTTTGCTTCAGTTCCTCAAAATCTCGACAGAAGTTCTCATTTAGAGCACTTAAAGCAGTAAATATTCAAAGTCAATTTGGTTTAACAGTTTGATGAGGGTTTGGGTTTGAAAACATGGAAAGATGTAAGAAGTGTCTTTTTTTTGTTTTATTTTTGGGCTTTTTGTCCCTTTATTTGAGAGATAGGACAGTGGATAGAAATGGAAATCAGGGAGGGAGAGAGAAAGAGAGTGGTGAATGACATGCGGCAAAGGAGCCACAGGTGGGATTCGATCCTGGGCCGCCAACTTGGAGGACTACAGCTTCCATACATGGTGCGCGCACTAACCGCTGCGCTACCAGCGACCCTGGTACTCATGTCTTTAGGTCAAATTAACTCAACTCAACTGAACTTTATTTATATAGCAATTTAAACACAATATAGTTGATCCAACGTGCTGAACATTGCAGAAACAAAGCATTAGAAAGTAACAGACAAGAACGATAACAAAAAAAAGAAAAGAACAAGTGGATAATTCCAGTGTAACACAAGACTAACAGAGCTATGTTTTTTTTGTGCTTGATGGGTTACTGAGCATTAAAGGCAATTAAGTATAAATATGTCTTAAGGCGAGTTTTAAAAATACCAATACTGGGAGAGAGACGGATGTCTGGGGGCAAAGAGTTCCACAGTTTTGGTCCTGCAATAGAAAAAGCCCGATCCCCATTGTACCTTGCCCTGGATCTAGGCAATGACAGAAGGTTTTGTGCTGATGACCGAAGATCTCTCACCGGCTGATATGGGGGCAGGAGTTCTGAGAGGTAAGCGGGGGCAAGTCTGTTTAATGCCTTAAACACAGTCAACAGTAAATTAACGGTACTGTTATTGGTTTGCCTACTTTGCGCTGGCAACTTAGATCTTTGCAGTTCAGACACAAACCTCACTCTGATCAGTCAGGATCAGACGTGCTGATGAGACATGGCTTTATTGATATATCGTGATGCATTCAGAGTGGCAACGTGGTGACTCGAGAGACAATCAGACAAATGAAAACACTGGATCCCCACAGAGTGCAACTGAGGCCCTGGTGCTGCATGCACCTCAAAACTCTGAATTCCCAGATAAGGATCTCGTTAATTCAGAAAAACAGAGCAGATGTGTATTTTCTCAAATGAATGTCATACGCTTCAGTAGACATCAAATGACATACCAAATGCTTGTATGCAGGCCTCCACCAGCTCGTCCACTGTGGCCGACTGCTCCGATAGTATGGACTCCATCCTTGCTCTCTCTCCTCTCAGGTATTCCCCTCGTTACTCTCTCTGGGTCGACTCTCGTGCCTCTAAATGAACAAAGAAAGGATGAAGAGAGAAGATCAAAGACGAGTGATTATGAGTGACATAAAGAAAATGACATTCTTATCAGCGACGGCTGCGTGTCTGAAATAGCTGTGCAGTCGCTTATTTAGCATTCTGCTCCACACCGCTGTGAGCGAGATAATCAGCGATTGTTAACTGGTACGTTTAATTGAGATATCAGGCTGTCAGTGTCATCCCCTGTTGATGTGATGGTTTGATTTGACCCGACAAATTCAATCTGCATATCCTCTGTTCAAAAGCTTTAAAAACATATCTAGTTCTACTTGAAGGGAGCTAATTTAAAATATACAGATGGACGTTGATTCTCTACATCCTCTGGTTGTATTAAAGTTGTACAAAAGTGAAGCCAAATAGCCCCGTGACAGGCGGTGATATATATTGCAGCAGTGACACCAGAGTCGAGTTTTTGCCCTTCCTTCTTTAATCTGCTACTCAGGTGCAAATAAATCATAGTTTAAAAAAGAAAACTTCTGAAAACGACACGTCCGACGGATTAAACTTGTGGCGTTGACAGACCGCCATGTGCACAGAGTATGGGGAAATTGAAAGTCAGGGAGCTTTTATGTCTTCTTTTCTGATGATACATTCAAAAGGCTGGATCCCCAACAATCAAACATTATCATGATTCTTTAGTCTGTATTATTGCAAATTAAAAAACATCTGGCAGTATGCTAAGTTAACCTACATTCTATGTCTGTGAAATACTTCGTCAAATGTTGTTCAATAAGACAAACCTTTCATTCTATAAAATGAGTGATGCAAAAGTGGATTGTCTAGCATATAGGAAACAAGAAATGTGTGCAGCCGTGCACTTTGTTATGATTGTGAAATGTTCCCCTGTTCAAGTAGTTTTTCATGTTCTGACAATAAAGAAGGTTAAACCACAATTAACCATTTGGTTTCTTCAACTTTCACTCAGGAAAAAAAAAAACAGTCTCTAAATTTGAATGAAATAAAGACTTAACATCATGGTGATAATTATCGTTTATCGACTGATATGAACATTTTCATCACGATAAAATTTTTTAGTCCTTTTGCCCAACGCTTTGTAAGACTTTTATACATTAAACAAAAGACATGACATATCACATAAAAACAGCAAGCATTTGTCAAGATGTATACATGCTGCATCACTGTAAATATAGCATGAAAAAAAGTTTCGTGTGCATTTCGTTTCATGTCAGACTTTTGACAGCACAGTCAGTCTCTGACCTCGTTGTGGCTTTAAAACAAACCCGGATAAAAAAAAAGCCACAGACACAATCAACAGGAAACCAACGTTTTAATCTCTCCTTGACATGCTTCCATTCAGTCCAATGTAAAGACACAGTGCATTTGCGTTAGAGGAATGCCCGGCGTTTATATCTGCACATGCATGGTGGCATTTCACATTAGTTGCAAAAACAGGTCCGGAAATATAAGCATACTGGTATTTTCTAGGTGATTGAGTAAGCAGGGAGCCTTGACAACCACAGCTTACAGCCCAGTCACTATTTCACAACATATACACACACACACCTCCGCACACAATGCAGATGCACAAAAATACATGTTTTCTTTTTTTTTTAACTGCATGAAGTGTGGTGGTAGAGACGCCTGAGGGGATCTATTTTTGTGCCATAATCCCAAATGCATTTATTGTGTCTGAAGAGGCGAAAATACACTAATCCTGTCTTCTACACAGACCGCGTCTCGATCTGCTGCTGAAACAGTAGATAAAAGAAGCCACAGGATATTTTGGTTCATTTCTGATAAGCGTGACAGTAATTCTGAGGTTACGCTGGAGGAACAAAGTGAGGCCACGAAATCCACAACAGCACACCCCACTAATGGCTCTCGAGTGTTGTGGATCTTTCACAGCGAGTGAGACGCGGTGTGATGAGGAGTTTGTGTACGTATCTATTGTCCCCGACACAATGAGAGCCTTCCACTGCGCCGTCTCTGCTGCAGCGCGGTGGGCGGACACACTCAATTACAGGCTTCAGGAGCTGTCGGAGCTACACACATGATATACACACGTTCTGTGCATGGATGGAGGGTGAGGAAGAGATAAAGAATGAGAGGGAAATGTGAAGCTTAAGTGTCAATCATCAGTCAAACAGTGAGGGTGAGTTAAAGTTAGTACGATAATGAGAAGGAAAAAAAAGCAGAAGTGGCCTAAGTAAACACATTACCAACTGTAGCAGAAGAAGAGTTTTACTATTATTACACTGTGGAAAAATGACAGGGGTTTTACATGCACTCTTAGGCCTGATTCACAAAAGGATGGCATTGCTTTTGCACCCTGTAAACCTGTGCAAATGAGTCAAAAATACACAGTCTTCATTCATAAAACAAACATAGGGGGTTAAATGAACCCTTAACTGCCTGCAGATCATGTGCGTCTGTTCTGGTTGCATGTATTGCAACCAGAACAGCGTACAGGGGCACAATAATTCTCTGTTGAGACCAGGTGGTAACTGCATATTTATAAGGGATGCCTGTCACGTGCAAACTTTCTAGTGAGAAGAAAATTAATTCACCTTTTTATAACTTTAAATTAAATGATATATACTAAGTCTGTAAATATGACTATGGAATTACTATAATTGATAAGAATGTAATTTGTTTTTTTGTTGTTGTTGGTTTTAAGCTGCCCTTTTCAGAGAGGAGGCTTTGTTTTAAACTGTGAAACTCATCACATTTTTCAAGTCAAGTTCACACACCAGCCTTTAGTTAAAAAAAAAAGCCAGTAAGCCCATCTCTGTACCGTCTGATTCAACAGCTGAGGCTATCTGCTAAACATTGTATCTGGTGGAAGTTCTGGGTAGAGATGCATTCACACCTGAGCCGTTTGGTCCAACTCTGGAGCACTTGGTCGGATGTCCCTTTGGTTTGGGGTGGAGTGACTTCTAAAACAAACTCTAATGCGGACCAAAGAACTGAAATCTGGTCTGATTGAAAACAGAGGTCACTGTTCTCAAACGAGTGCAGAGTTTGGTTCACTGTAGATGAGAATGCGCTCCAAACCAAAAGAGGTAAGGGAACAAAACTCAGTGCATTTTGGGTTAAATTTGGCCGTCTGTAAACGATGTGAAATATGTTTGCTCAGGCGATATGCCAGTTTAACTTGACAGTTTGACTGATATACTTTAACTCCATTTTATATGACAAAAGAAAAACTGAGCTACAACAATACTGTTCTTTAACTGTGCTGCTGTTTACTTCTGGCTCACTTCGCAGCATTAGGGCGGATGGCAGTAGCCACTGACCGGAGCTACAACCCTAACTAGTGACGGGTGGCTATGGTACACAACATTTGATCAGCTTTGGTACGCTTGACAAAGTGCAGCGTGAAAGCAAACCAAACCAAATGAAAAATGCCACTCTTTTACAACTTCTGCCCTGAATCACACAGAGCCACTGGACTTCTTATGTGAAGAGTCGGAGGAGGACGGTGACAGATTAAAGAAGAGAAAAAGAGAGAGTGACAGAGCAAGAAGGCGGAACTGGAGTAAATATCAGACAGGCTTTCACACATTGATGAGAGCTTTGCAACACAGTGGCTGAGCTGTCTATGACAGTATAGTAAGTTAATTCGGTGGGCGCCAAAGTGCACCAAAAACTGAAGAGCAAAGACAGGCCGAAGTGATGTGCTGTTGCTAAAGATAGACATGAAAGTTCCTGTGCTAAGGTCACCACAGGAAGTTAGTCTGAGCTCTACCTGCACAGAGCAGACCTGGAGGGCACACTTCACTGGAATAAATGCAGAAAAATACTGTGCCATGCAAGTGGGTGGTGAATATGTATTAAAGATACAGGCAGCATCTGCAAACTTGGGCAGAAAAAGATGTTATTTTGTATAGACATTTCCATATATATGAAAGATTGCAACCTTTAAAATATTGCAATTGGAATCCACCCAAAATCATTTTCCCAGTCTTCTTGTATAAAAAGAAGGCTGGGAAAGTGATTTGCATCTTTATGATGTCCTGGGGAAAATCTATATGTCTGCAATATCCAATAGTAACCAGTAGCTCACTTTGTATTTGCACAGATTAGGCTGCAAATAAAATATGATAATATGTTAGCCTCTCCAACAAATCACTAAAAATGGTTTCCATATTTTCAAATATTTGTTGCATATTCACTAGATCTTCTCAGAAAAGGGCCAACTGGGTCAGTAATATGGATCAGACAAATGATAAACCCACATTTCTTCAAATAACTCAATCTGCAGATGCAAATCCATTGGTGCCATTCCCCAGAATTGCAAACTCTTCTCAATATGAATCCCTTATTCTATCAGACCAATACATAAATAATATGCAGATGATGTTATATTTAACATCTGCAACTGATCAGATCTCCCTTATTGTCTAATAAATGTTACTGATGTAACGATATGACAGATCTATAAATGTGTAGTCCATTGGATCATTCCCAATGCATGTCCCCTTGTGAGAAACAAGTCCTTAGACAAAAACACTGACATCTCTAAAACAGCTTTTTTTTAATCGTAGCCCCTCCGCAAACCAACACCACTGCTCACATCTCATGAATATAATAGGAAGCAGAGTGGCCTTGAAGTCTACCACTGCGACACAACAAGAGTCATTATTACTGATGAGAGTCATCCAGATCCGAGCTGAGACGGATTTCTCTCTGACAAAAATGGGCACCACCCTGTCATTTTACCATTCAGTTCAGAACAGCCTGTCCTGGAGTGCAGCATGCGGACGTAAAAGTTCTCTCAGCGGCTGTTGGCACATGTATTCATCCCTCAGAGACCGTAACAATGAACACAAAAAAAGTAAGGCAGTTTGGGGTTTCAATGACAGCTGTGCAAAGGCTCAGCCTGCTTTTAACCGTCTCCCACAGTGACACATACTGTCATGATACTATCTTTCCATCATCATTCATCATCCTGCTGACAGAAGCTCTTTGACAAGAATTCTTTCAGTTTTTTGTGGCGATTTCAGAG